CTGGCTACTGAATCATCCCAGGGACAGCATCCAAAGGAGCTACCAGCCATGGCTGGAAACAGTGAGCAAAAAAGTTCTCGTGAGAGAACAGCTCTGAAGTTCCAAGGAAGACAAAGAGACTAATTCATGCGTGACAGAAGTTAGTTACATCCTTACTAGGTGCTGGGATGCCATAGTAATGGGGGCAGACGGAAACCCACAAAAGATTGTCATGGCCATTTCAGCTCCACCATCCCTAACCTCACTGGCTTTCCTCCCTCCAGAGCAGGTAATGCCAATGGTTTTACACACAGCTGTGCCAGGTTGAACAATTCAAGTTTCTCTGGTCTTCTTAGCCCTTTTATACCACCACCAGAGCAGATTACCATTAACAAGAGCACACGATGAGCTACACGCCAGGACAGGGCAAGGTCACGGTATGGCACCATTTTGCTCTGCTCTCCACAAACGGGTTTTGTGACCTTGAGTGAGTGATGCCATTTAGTTTTGCCTCCTGCCTGGTGTCACTTTAAACTCCTCAATGTACAAGGATGTGAGAGGTGGTGGTGGGTGATGTTACGGTGGTGTAGGATTGAAAATGACCTTAACAGTTAATTGGCTCCAGCCTGTCTGGCTGAAATGAACCTGGTAAATTATGTTAAAAGGGGACCTGTTGGCAGTTCAAACCTACCAGTCCATGTTAGACACAAGCTGTCTTTCACTAAAGCATTCAAAGAGTCCAAATCTCCTTTTCAAGCAGTTTGTGTTGTTGAGGCCCTTACCTGGCCGCAGGTTCAGCTCTATTTTCTGGGGGCTCATCTGGGTGGTGGTGGAGGTCCCCGAGCCTTTGTCGCTGAGAGGCCGGTTCTCCAGGACCCTTATGCTGCTAGTCGGGAACTCGATGTGGTCCTGCCTGCACCCATTTTGGAGGAGGTTGCTGTGTAGGTCACAGCGAGGTGATCCTTGGGCCAAGACCTGCAGGAAGGTGGCAGAGTCAGTGGCCAAGGCAGCCAGGAACCAACCAGTGTGATGGTGGGGTGGAGGAGAAGAGAGGGCCAGGTTTTCTCTGGAGAGCTGTGGCTGAGTCATGTGTCAAGCAAAACCAAGATAAGAGACAACAAGGCCTCCCCAGAGGGGAGGAGGCAGACAGATAGCAGGTCCAGGATCAGCAAGTCCCACAGAGCCACAAGAACCATCTTTCTGGCCAGCATAGCTTTTACTGAACATTGCTCCGCTTCCTGATCTCCACCCACATCCTGGTCCAAGTCTCTCGCTCTCCTTTCCAAGGATGTTCCCTGCCTGCAGCCTCATCCTTGTGCATGGACCCACCTGGCTGGCTCCTGCACCCCTAAAGGTACGCTCAGCAGTACCTTGCTCAATATTGTCCAGCTCCTTGCCCACACCAGCAACACCTCCCTGCCCCATCTGCCTGCACTGTCCTTCAGGCCCCTACTGTCCCAGGAAAGATCAACTTTCGTCCCATCAGCAGTCTATAAGTCACATAACCGGTTTCTTGAAATGAATGGGCTTTACACAGGGCTGCCCAAGATGAACTTTGCCAAGGTGGTTTAAGAGAGACCCCCTCATGCTGCCCGCACAACCTGCCTGTCCTCTGCAGAGACCTCCCTGTCCTCAGAGCAGGTTTGGGTTCGGCCAGGGAGACCCCTTGCCCCCTGGCTCTTACACCAGCTGCTATAAGGGAGCACAGTAATCCCTGCAGAAAAGGAAGCAATGGATAACTTATCCCTGACAAATTCCTTCCTGCCTCCTAGTGGGTGGAACCTCAGGTTTGGTTTATGACAAAGCCAACAGGAAAGATCACCTATGGGGTGGCTTTGTGTGCTGGGGGACGGTGAGACAGGACGTGAATGCTGGCAGGCTGCGGATGAGGGACAAAGCTTGGGACATTTTGGAGTTTTTTAAGTTTCAGAAAAAAAGAGCTAGCTTTTCCCCCCACCTCTTTCTTGACATGCAGCCTTAGAAATGTTGCTGTGAGCAAGGGACAGGCCTGTTAGGGCTGAACCCACTGCATGAAATAGTTTAGTTCCTGTCCGAGCTTATCTTCAGCGCTCCAACTTCCTGCTGGATGGAGACTGACGGGGGAAAAGGAGGACCAAAAAAGGAGAAAAAGAGTGAAACAGCCACTGAGCCACGGGAGAAACTATCAAGAATCCATCAGAGGCAGGAAGCCCAAAGTGTGAAGTCACTATGAATCTCCAGCCCTTTCCGTCATTTCCTAGAAAGCTTCCTGGCCTCTTCCCCCTTATCATGGCTCAGGCAGATGGGGCTTGTACCACCCTTGTGCCTGCTCTTGAGATGACGAATTTCTCAAAGACAAATGTGCGAATATTCCTCTCCTGGCCCGACGCTGCTGGGATGTGCAGTTGCGGGTCCCAGCTGGGCAGCAGACACCCTCTGCTCTGACCGCAGGGTTTCCCTAGCCTCCAGCTCTCCCTCCTTGAGTGACAGAGCTCAAATCTTTCTACACTCACAGAAGGTGACCTACACAAGTGCCACCTTTCCTTGGGTATGACACAACTCCTAGCACAAGTTGGGACCAAGTGGTTCAGCTTCCCTCTCCATTTGTGGGGCAGGGAGAAGCAAAAACCTCAGCTTTGCAACCTCTCAGCACCCAGGAGGAGGGAGAGATTCTCAGTTTGGGATATCAGCTCCCCTGAGTTCAGGCTGCCTGAGCCCGGGAACTACTTTGTATGTTTTAGGCAAAAAAGTGGAGAAGTGCAAACAGTGTCAGGAGGCCCTTTCTGGCCTACAGCCCTTCTGGGAACAGGGGCCTTTAGCTGCCTTTTCTCCTCCCTCAGTTCAACTGATTGATAGCCAGAAGACACATCAACAGGCATATTCCTCCTCTGCTGCCTCCCATTTCCACCCTACCTGCTTGGACAGTCTGCCATCAATAACCAGGACAAGTTGCCTGTCTAAATTAGCTCCCTTGCACCCTCCTGCCCACCCCAACTTGCCCTGTGGGACTCCCTGCCACACCTTGTTGTTGGGACCAAGGAACTGTGCAAAACCCTGAGGCAGGCATACCTCCAGAGCTACATCTATCTGCTACAACAGAGAGCCAGAAAATATGCCTAATTTACAACAGACCCCATCAATCATCACACACATTCCTGTCCCAGGCAGGGGAATCACTGTAAAGATATCTAGGAAAAAAGCAGGCTGAGCAGAAAGGCCTTTCACTGTGATGCTGTTCTCTTGGGTGATACCTTCAGGTCCTTGTGGCCTCCCCGGCTCCCTGAGGGCATCTAGCACCTTTAAGGATTAGCAGCAACATTACTGCATGATCCCCAGGGAGGCAGCCCATTAACCCCAGTGCCACATCCGTCCCCTTTCCTGGCAGCCCTAAACATCATGATCAGCTCAGGACTTGCAGGAACCTCTTAAGTGAAGTTTGGCTACAAGAAGGACATGTCCAAAGATGGACATTTGGCTACAGAGCCCTTGCAGATTTTTCTTCCCCCCTCTTCTCCACAGCCTCACCGGACCCAGGGACTTGGGGAACCTGCCAACACTGTGACGCAATGAGTTCACTCACTGGAACGCTCTGTACAACCCCACGCTCCTGTCAGCACGGCCCTGCTTGCCTGGGCAGAGGCTCTCCAGCGCAGGGACGTGGCAGGGCATGTGCTCCGACCTCCTCTGCCAGAAGGCACTCTGCAGCCCCTGGCAGAGCTTTCCCAGTCCACTACCCCTTTGGGCATCTCTGCATCTGTTTGAGCTCACTCCAGGACTGGAAACCCAGTGAGTTTTAGCCCTGGTCACCACCTCCAAACACTGGAAGCAAGGACAGGGTTGTCCAGCAGTGCTGGCAAAGTCAGTTGCATCCAAGAGCCCCCTTGGTGACCACAGCAGGGGGATGCTCCAGAAGTCCCATATCCCAGGGTATCCCCATTGTGATCTTGCAGGCAGCCATGCAGAGCTACAGCTTCCCTGCAGGAGAGCTTGTGGGAGGACCTAAAGCACAGAGACCTCCAAGAATTAAGCTGAAACCTCCAGCTGCTTCACTAAATCAAACCCTGGTCCAACTTTGCCTCCATCTTTGCTCCAAGGGGACCAGAGCAGGTGACATTTTGGTAGGGTATTGTGTGATTTTCCAAGATCTCACCCACCCAAAGTGGTTTCAGGGCCACTGCTCAGCTCTAAAGCTTGGCTGACTTTTCTAAAAGGAAAAGTGAGTGGACATGCACACCCATTTGTTGGTAAGAGCGGTCAAGGCTTCTGAAAATAAAGAAAACAGAATGGTCCTTTACATCAGCACTCAGTGGGGTCAGTGATCACAAGGAAAAGCAGTCGAATCCTCCTCGCCAGTCCTGTTCAAACCAAGGATAGAGCAGGAGCAATCACTAACCCCGTGCTCATTTTAACAGCTAGGACGAAGCAGCACTACAGCGGGAAAGAAAGGGATACAAATAAGGGCACTGTCCCTTTAAAAAAAGGGGGGGGGAAGGATCAGAGACCTCACCCACCCCGGGGAAATTAAACAAACCCGCAGAAAAAACCTTCATTTTGCTAAATTAAGACAATGCGGTCCAGATGTCAGAGGCAGGAGTTGCTGAGCAATTTGCAAAGCCTGGTTCTCTGGGGGCCGGTCGCTGGCAGCGAGGCAGCTCCCTCACTGCTTGTCTTGACTGTCCATGAGCAGTGTGGAAAATTTCCTTTTTTGGAAACCTTTGCTGATCTGAGGGGGAAAAAAAAAAATTACAGCCCCCGCTGCAACGTCAAGACACCAGCACGGCCTCGGATCGAGGAGGCTCTGTTCCTCCCTGCGCAGTGAGGAGAGGCTGAGCAAGGCCTGGTGCCCGCTCCAAAGTTCGGCTGTTCCTCGCTGGAGAGAAATCAAGTCTCATCAAGCCAAGCATCTTGGCTAATCCTGCATGCCAAGAGCGAGCTGTGAAACCCCCGTTATCTGATGGGCACAGCAAGGGGAAGCTTTTCCTCCAGTCGCGCTCCTGAACGGGAGGCTCTGGCAGAGGCGCAGGTCCAGATCCGGCACGCGCATCCCAGCACACATCGTCCAACCCGGCCCAAACACCCCAATGCAGCGGGATCCGGCCATGGCGACAGAACCCAACAGCGTTCTCCAGCTTGGAGCAGTTCTGCCCAGCCTTTTCTTTGTCCTTGCATGGGTCATGGGCACAGCCACAGCTCGAGGCTACAGAATTTCAGGTTTGGAGAAGCAAAAAAAAAAAAAAACACCCACTTTTCTTACTTCTACCCTTTCCTGGAAAGGGAACTCCTTCTGGCCCTTTCGACACACAAGCACCACATTGTTTAAGGCGATGCTTCACTTAAGCCCTGGAGGAGTTTCTATCACTTCTCCCCTTCCCACCCTCACCTCCCCTTTGTCTCTTCCCTGGGGCTAGTTGCTCACCAGATGTGATCCGTGCTGGGAAACCCCCCCCCCCCTTGTTTTCCCCGACAGACAAGCCCTACAGGCAGCATTTTTGGAGGGTATCGTGGCAGATTTGTCTAGGGTCTCATCCACCCAAGCAAAGGGACGTTTAGAGCCACGGCTCAGCTCTAAGGCTGGGACAACTTTTTGGGGGGAAGGACTAGTGAGCAGAGGGGCAGGTCTCTTTGTGGGAAAGTGGTCGAGGCTTCTGAAAATAAGTTTTTTTGTTTTTTTTCACATCATCTTTAGTTCAGTAACTAAAGCCAGGCACTGCCTCTCTGAGATCCTGGTCTTTAGGAAAGGCTGGCCTTTCCTTCCCCTCCCCACCACCCTAACCTTCCAGAGAGGCTTTTGAAACCAAAAACTAATTTTACAGAAACTTTCTTTCTAATCGATATTTTCCTCTTCCTCCCTTCAGAGCCGCACCCCCCCCCCCTCCCCTCTAACACCCTCC